GGTTTGCTGAAGGTTGGAGTCTATGCATCTTTGATTTTACACCTAATATTTTATATCCCAGATGCCAACCTGACGAATCATTATTTATTTTGCCTTCATCACCGTATGTGTAAACTTTTCGTAATTGGAAAAAATACACAACCCCGAACATTTAAAGGAGTAAAAATTTTCTCGTTATATATCATGCAAATAAAAGCGTGGATGACACAAGCGTTAATGAATGATTGGTCTAAAAATTGTAGAAAACTGTTCGACTTATACTTCATTTAAAGTTTAGTGAAAGATAATTAATCTATATTATTTTTTTCTCCAAATTGTAATTTGAGTTGCAGAATCGAAATATGTAAAAAAATTGGTATGTTATATCAGAAAAAGTCCGATTTTGTGTCAAAATACCTATGTTAGAATAGTGCTATATATAAATCTAATATATATCCGAAGTCGCGCTTTCGAGACATGAACGCAATTTGAATTTTGTCATTCGGCTCAGTAGAATGGGAGATATAGCACTGTCCCCCCTTTTTTTTTTTTGAGCAGTGTACATTTATTAAAGTCTAACTGCATTCGTCTACTGACCCCCCCCCCCAAAGTTGAAAACTAACAGAAGAAAGATACTGGTGTTCAATAACTGAAAATTTTATGAGATTCAGCGTTGCAGCTGTAGGTGTAGAATTTTTTATTTTTATTTATTTATTATTTTTTTAATTAGAAGATTGTATGTTATGTGATTTGTATATGCATGTGTATTCTGGGCAGTTTAATCTCATCAAAAAAATTTTTAATGCCTTTTTAAAAGGGCAGCTGTTTTTCTATTAACCTTTTTTAACTGCCGTTTACAAACTACAGACTGCCATTCTGTAGGAATGACTATTATTACTTTCTACTGTTCTGAATCATTAAATTGAAGGCGTAAATCATTGTGCGAAGCTTGAGTCAAAATCGGGAGAGGACAAATCTTGTTTTAAGACTTATTTGCTTATAACATAAAGAATTCTTTCTTCTTGTCTTGTAACTAACAAGATAAATCATTGTGCAAAGCTTGGGTCAAAATTGGGGGGGGGAAGCAAAATTTCATATTGCGACTTATTTGTTCTGCTCTTTAGTATACAAAACTTTTTTGTGTGTGCTTTATATGTGAGTAAACTTTTAAAATAGCTAGGGAAAGAATTATCAAAAATGACTATTAGAAATTATAAACCAGACTTGCCTTTTGATAGAATGGAATGTGTAAATAAGATGATGAAGTTGGTTTAGAATAAAAAGGATTATAATCCTCTCCACAGCCGTACAAAGAAACATGATAAATATACTTAGGATATAAGAACTTTCTGTGCAAACTGAGATTTTGCTTGTACAAATTCAGATTTGTGGAACCTAAAATAATTAGCCATCTAGTAAGTACTAGTAAAATTTTATTTCTAGAAAACCTGAATGTAATTTTTGGATAATTAGAGGAAGTTTTTATTTTTTCATACTACTTGGTTATTATAAACAAATATGCTGCTGTGTTTAAACCTCAATAATACATGGTTTAATAAGATAATGTGTGTGCTGATCAGTAAATTTGTTATAAATTTAGTAGGCAAAGGAATCGTAAGTATTAAGAATAATGCTGTACTTAATGTGTGTAATCGTATAATAATAATGGGTTTTAAAACTGATAACAATGCAGTAATGATAGGATTTTTTATTTTATGTTTCTATTTAGTCAAAAGTGTACATAAAATAAATTGAAGGTAAATTTTACATTCATTTAGACTTCTTCGGCTTCTAGATTTTGTTATGTTTTATTAGTTTTAATGAAGAATAATAGGATACTTCCAAGATTAAAGAACTTTATTTCTTCTGCACTTAATTTAGTATTTTTTCCAGTTCCATTTTCTTTTTCCTAATAAGTTTAATATGTTTTTTTTTTTCTTATATGCATAAAAAATTCTTTGACAACAACTTGCGTAATTTCTGTTACAGTTCGCCCTGTTGCTCCAGCAGGTCAGCAAGTGAGACTGCAAACCACTGCAGTTACCATTCCAGGTCTTGGAGCCGTAATACAGTCTAATACATCAGCTGCTACCTCCCAAGTTGCTATTGCATCTAGTCAAACTCAGGCAGGTGTTGCCACTAACAAAATTTTGTTGCCATCGACTCCTGTGAAAGTGACAAGTTCTGAGACAAAGCAAATTTTAGCTAGTCCTACTAAGGTTGTCACTGTAACCAGTAAAGGAGATGGATCCACAGCTTCACAACAGTTTGTTTTAACCAATGCCATCAAGCAACAGAGTATGTATCAGATCTTGCATGTTTTCATCCTGAATACTCATTTATTTTATGTGATGTATTAAATTTTTTATTGAAATGGAGCTCTTATTTGCTTATTTTTTATTTAGCCACTAACTGTGTGGTTTATGAGGAAATTGTTATTTTAAATTCGGGGACAAGAGATTTGTAACTCGCATTATTATGTTCTTGAATTAAATGAGTAAAGCTAGAAATGAAATTTGAGTTCAAAAGTTTTGAAAAACATTTTAATGGCTATAATTAAATGTTATTAAATATTGTATTCTTTTAATTTCACAGTTGTAAGGCAAGCTTTAATGAATCAACATGCATCTCCTGAAATTCAACAAAAGCTTTTGGCTATGCAACGCCACCAGCAGCAACAAATGCACAAGCAGCTTGAAGCTGAGGGCAAATCTACAGTGCCACTGAAAATAGCAAGTCCATTAACTTCTGTATTAATTGATAAGAATAAAAGCAAAACATTAACACCTGAGCAAAGAGAAGACAGTCAAAGGTATATCCTTTATTCCTTGTATCATTTTTTTACTCTGTATTGTTTCAGTTTGCTTGATTTCCCTCTCCCATTATAAAAAAAACTACATTTCCCTCTCCCATTATAAAAAAAACTACATTCTATGTAAATTGTTAAATTTTAATTTAGTTACCTCGACGTCATAGCATTTTATGTATTAGCTACAAATTAAAATTTTATGGAGTTACGGTAAAAGTATTAATTTTGTTTCTTTGAACTTATAAATTGTAATACCATTAAAAATTGAGATACCTATATTTTTAAATGTAAATAAATTCCTATCAAATAGGCTTGTGTGCAAAAGCTGAAGTTAAGGAATATTATAATTGCTTATAAAAGCTTACATTTTCATATTGGTGTTTAATAGTTTATAGTGCTAATAAATTGTGGCAATATTCTTGAAAACTGTGCTTTCATCTGAAGTTGTAGAAGGGCGTTAATTCATCTCTTCGTTTTCATCTTCATATATTTTTGGTACTGTGGAATAACCCTTTGTCATCATCTTCATGGAACCTTAAAACCCAGTACACTTTCCTTCAAAGACATTTTGATGTGAAAGAACATTTAGGACTGAACCGGGAGGTGGAAAATCTCAAGTCACAATGTCCAATTGAAGGAATAAAGTACATGGTTAGGATAAACCTATCAAGTGAGGTTTTTAAGAAAAACACAAATGACTTGATTCTAAATGCTGTATCCTTGGAGATTATCCATGAATTGTACCCAGATAATGAGTGGCTGCCTCTGTTTACAGACGGCTCTGTGTTGAATAGCAGTATCAGTAACAGTGCTAGCATCTTCTGCAGGTTCTTCTCATTTTACACTCCTCTCGGAAGGTTTAAAACAGCCTTTGGCGCGGAGATCTGTGAAATTCAAATTGTCTTCTGCCTTGTCACAGCTCCAATGCCTATCGGGAAAATCTGAAAAAAGAGCTGTTATTCTTTCATATTCTAAAGCTGCCCTCCTGACCATTGCTTCGTCTGACCCTTAATGATTTAATCAAAAGCCAATAAAGAGGTTGCTTTGCAAGCACACTGTGGACACCAGGGTAATGAAATAACTGGCTTCCTGGCAAAGTAGGCAACCAAAATTGGTCAAATAATAGATAAACCAATCCCTTTTTTACTGCAAACGGTTAATTAAAAAATCTTTTAGAGAGGAATATTGGAAAAACATCAAAGAGGCGAACAAAGATAAGAAATGGATTGAGGAAATCACAAATATTCCACTATGGCCAAGGGTCAGATCTGTTGCCACTTTTCACCTCGCTACTAGTCATGATTGCCTCTCCAAGCATCTGTATCGCATAAAAATACTGCCAAGTCATCTTTGTGCAACATTGAGGAAATGGGCGTGAACCATTTGAGTCACTGCCTTGCACTGTGTTCGGGACACTTGTGAGAGAAATACTGGAGAGCTGTGGATAAGATGAGCAATTTTATAGACTTACTGTAGTTTCAGTTCTAGTGCTTGTTTCTTCTGTTTATATTTTTGACTACAGTTATCTTCTAATCTGCCATTGAAAATTTTAAAAATTTTTTTTGAATTGCTCTTTTTTTTTTTTTTTTGAAGCAATCAAAATTATCAGATATCACCCAATCTGTAATGTGGAAATTTCAAGTGGCCAAATGCGTATATGATTCCTTTTTTCAAGGAATTACCTGATATTCGTTTGAGCAAAGATAAGATATCAATTGTAGGTACTCTCGTATATGCAAATATATCTTCAATAAAATATTTGTAGATTATAGTCTTTTTTTTATCAAAATTATTTAAAAATAATCGTTACCTTAACTGATTTAATTAGGCACGAAGCTTTAGTAGCTCAGCTGGTTTTTTAAATTATGGAAGTAGTTCTTTGTTTTTAACTTTTATAAATCTTTTTCAAACAAGAATATTATCAGTAAACATTTATCATGCATATTTGTGTCAAATAGAAATTAAACTAGAGATGCTTCCTTAATCAATTAAAAACTGAACACTGAAATTTTCAAGCAGAAACTATAGTGCATACTCTTGAAATTGCATCTATACTTGCATAAAATTATTACAGGAAGTGAAATATTTCCATATTTGTTTTAAATGTTTATCATAGTGTGAAATTGCTACAAAAAGTGAAATATTGCTATTTTGGGACCAAAGCAATTTTAGTATATTTTGGACACATTTTTCAGTCTTATAAAAACTAAACCATTTTATTTCTGTGTCCTAGTTATATGCTAAGATGAGAATTAACTCCCCCCTTTTTTCCCAGAAATATTAATTTAGTAAGTATTACTGCATAATAAAAATACTAAACAGATCATAAAATAAATTTTAACTCAAATAATTCTTTTCATAGCTCTTTATATGAAAGCGTTTCATTTTGATAATGCATTCTTTTCTGTGTATAAGATAGATTCTTTTTCTTTTTTAGTATTTTATCACAGTTTTCTGCTTTTTTATGTATATACTTCGTTTTTAGAAAACACATTTAATTAAACTATAATATTTTAAAAATTTTTATTTATTTATTTATTTATTTTTAAAGTGTCTTGTCTTAATAGAGAAAGTGACGGTGATTTATGCTCTTTGAAGATGCAAAATTCCTAGGTCAAGTACATGTATATTCAGCTTTTGAATGCAGTATTAGGAATTCCCATTATATGTTCTTTTGATTGCTACAATTCTTAGAATGGGTTTATCAAATTACTGCAGCTAAGAAGCTAAAGCATAGTTAGAATTGGTTAATCCAAATTACTACATTTTTAAAAAAATGCTGCTTTAAACTGTTCTTTTTAAAAGTAATTTTCATATAATTTGCGGTGTTTTAATAATTTGGTGCTCCATTTGTTGAGCTCAGAGTGAATTTTTTTATCATTTTATCAGCTAGATCAGTTCTGATAGAATCTAAATTTAATACTTCTATATCAGTTCTTTTATTACCATTTACTTGAAAATTGCAATACTGAACGTAGTTAAAAGTTTAATAGTAGTAGAATGTAGTTAAAGTTTAAAGTGGTTGTAAATATGTATTATCCCATCAACTGTTGGCAGAAATTTTAGCAACAATCACTAAAGGACACGGTCATCTAATAGGCGCTAAATTGCGCTACTGGGCTGATCAGCAGGATAATACAAAAATACCAGTACTGGAAGTCCTATTGGGGGGGGGAATTAAGAAGTGTGTGTTTTTATTTTTTTATTTTGCTTTTTAGTGATTTCTTGAAGTAGCTTTGTAAGACATCTTTTTATTTAAACAGCCTGTTATTCAGCCTGTAATGAATTCATTACGTGTTATAATTTTTTAAAACTTCCTATATATACACACACACATGGTTGTCATTAATTAAAGAATTGACCTACCTCATCTTCCCAGGATGACTCTTCAACCTTGCATGTTCCAGTAAGTAACAGGCATGAAAGTTTTCCGCGTTTTTGCGGAATTCTGCTTTTTTGAACATCACCCGGGCTGTTTCTGAGATTGATGCAGAACCGTTGAGAAATCGCTACCGGCAAATGTGGGGGGGGGTGTAAATGGAGGACATGCTCTCTCTCTTCCTCTTTTCTTTGTAAAAAACTTTACACTATGCCATCGTATAATATTACGCCGGGTTAGCGATCAAACGCGGGCACCGCTTGTTGCGAACTTTTCGAGTTTGTCTGAGCCGAGATCACGAAATACATTGTTTCACATCAAGATGAAGTAGGTGGGGCTTATGTGGAAACGCGGAACTAGATGCGTACGAATATCGAATCAAAGAACCAAGGACTAAGGAAGGGTTCTATTACAGGGCTCTTAGGCATGTAGCTATTATCCCCACATCGTCAAAGAATTATCTTTATCGCCAAAAAGAGGGTTCCGCAAAGAGGTAAATTTAGTGCCAAAATGTTAATTTAACAAAAAAGGTAACTGACCTTCCACATGAAAGTAAAACACGAAGGACTTATTTAGATTTTGTTTCGATAAGGGCCAGAATAATTTGGAGGGGTTCCATGAATTTGAAAAGCATCTGCAAGCAACCGTCAAACGAGAGCTGACTTCAATAATGTCAGCGATCGGTGCTGGCGCCATCTGTCGGACACACGGATAACCACTTGCATTCTCCAGCACACAAAACTCTTATGTAAAATTTTAAGGAATGCTCATTAACTGTACAAAGAAGAGCTAGAGATAGAAAAGGAAGAGCGAGAATCTAGAAAAAAAAAAAAGGAATTAAACATTGCAGAAAATAAAAATGTATCAATGGATTGTATAAAAGCTGCTGAAAAAGAAATTGAGACTAGCTCACAAACGGAAATTAGAAAAATTGGCTGCAAAAGTAGCAAAAAATGAAAAGCTTTTTACCTAAAAATTTTTAATCAGGATCGAGTGAGACTGAGACAAAGTAGTTATTTTTTGTATTCCTCCTTTAACTATATGTTATTTGTAACTATATCTCATATGACTACTTTTTCTGGTGTTATACAAAGTACGTTTATTGAGCTAAAAGTGAAGATAATTGAAAGCTATAGTAACATTTTATATATTTAGGTGTATTCGAAACTAAGTACCGTTTTGAAAAAAAAAAAAAAAAAATAGTAAAACAATTTTTCGAATCCAATTTTATTTTTACATGAAAATGCATGTCTTTTAAACTATTTTCAACATAGTTTCCGCCATCATCAAATACTTGTCATAGCGGGTGACCATTTTTGTATACCATCGTCAAAGAAACTCCAGTTTTGATAACCACGACTCCACAGCATTTTTCGTGTCATGTCAGATCCAAAGCGCTTGCCACCAAGCTAGTGCTTCATGTGCAGGAACAATAATAGTCGGACAGCGCCAAGTCCAGGCTGTACGGGGGTGATCGAACTGCTCCCAATGAAACGGTCGAATTAACGATTGAGTGACACCAGCATTATGGGGCCCGAGCATTGTCATAGAGAAACACAATCCTTACTGAGCATTCCTCTTCGTTGTTTTGAATGCCACGCTCTTAGTTTTGTTAAGTCTCACA